ACAGTGACTAGGTTATAGTATCTAAGCTGAAATATATAGGTGATGGCGGTATACATGGCCAGTTGTTGCGAAACAATGGATTCCAAGGAACAAATCCAGGGTTAACAGCTTATGCTGCTGTTGGTGGCACAAATCTCACAGTTGACACTGCCAATCCTCTCACTTCAGCGCTCCCGAGATCTTTGAAAGTTTCCGTTCCATCTGGAACAACTGGACAAGTTGGCTTTTCGAATGCTGGATACCTTGGTGTTCCTGTGAATGACGATGCATATTCCAACTACTTCTGGATCAAGGGTTCATACTCCGGATCAGTTACATTGTCCCTCGTCGGCGTAGCAAGCGGAACAGTATATGCCACCAAGACCATTACAGTCAATAGTGTGGCTACTTCTTTCACTTACTATGAGACTACATACCACTCCACACAGGCTCCAGATGGTAATAATGTTTGGAAATTAACATTTGATGGAGCCAAAGTCGCCGGTAGTGCGCTGAATTTTGGTCTACCTCAACTTTTTCCAGTCACATTTCACCAGCGGTATGATAAACAGAATAAATGTGAGGATTATATTGACTTTTTGCAGTTACAACGGTATCAGAAATGATGTGGGAAACTTTCTTCAGGCACTCGAGCCCTCTTTCTTCCGCTTTCCAGGTGGAAACAATTTGTAAGACAAAAGTCTCAAATGGAAAAAATTGAAATCTATAAGCTAACATTGAACAGAGAAGGTTCTTCGCCAGGTAACAGATGGAAATGGAATGAAACTATTGGTCCAGTTGAAAAGCGACCAGGAAGGCAAGGTGATTGGGGTTATCCAAACACGGATGCTTTAGGTATTTTGTCTTTTGTTCGAGTCAGCATTACTTAACTGACAATCCTCCAGGATTGATGGAATATCTTCAATTCATCTCGGATGCAGGTATGATACCAGTATTAGCCGTGTGGTCAGGTCTTTCCCTTGATGGAGGTGGAGTTGTATCCGGTGCAGCTCTTACACCCTATATTGATGATATCCTGGATGAGCTTGAATTCCTCCTTGGATCTACGTCAACGACATGGGGTGCGCTTCGTGAGTCTTACGGCCACGCTGCGCCATATGATATTCCATTCATTGAGGTTGGCAACGAGGATAATCTAAGCGCAGGTTGCGGTACATACGCCTCTCGATTTACAGATATCTACAACGCAATTCATGCTGCCTACCCTGACATCACAGTCATAGCCTCAACATCAAAAGCATCTTGTCTTCCAATTCCAATTCCAGCTGGTGTTTGGACTGATACTCATCACTACCTCTCGCCAAATGGATTTGTTTCCCTTTTCAACGAGTTCGACAATAAGCCTCGCAATGGCCCAGGAATTTTTGTTGGTGAATACGCCAGCACAACTGACAATAGTGGTGCTACTACTTATTGGTCAACAATCCAAGGCGCAGTTTCCGAAGCAGTCTATATGATTGGTATGGAACGTAACTCCGATATCGTCAAGATGGCTTCATACGCTCCTCTATTTGAGCATTTCGACATGGCCCAATGGTCACCCGATCTCGCTGGACTTAATGCCGATCCTGGATCTCTTACTGGAAGCGCAAGTTATTACGTTCAACAAATGTTCTCTGTTCATCGTGGCGAGACAATTCTTCCCGTTACTTCTGATGTTGGGTTTGGTCCCTTGTATTGGGTTGCGAGTAGTACGGCCGCTGGAACATACTACGTTAAGATCGCCAATTATGGTACTGCGACTCAAAATGTTACTGTGGATATCCCTGGCGCAACAGGTGCTAGTTCGAATGCTAAGCTGGTTTCCTTCACGGGTCCCCCAACTGCAAGTAATTACCCGTTGAAAGTGACTTTGCAGCCTGTCACAAGTACAGTTACTGGAAGTGCGGCTGGAGGGTGGACTTTTAATGTTGCTGCTTATGGTGTTGCGATTATTACTATCACTACTTAGATGCTTTTCTCGGGCTTGTGGATTGGGATGAGTCTGGGCCTATCCTTCTGGGTAGATTACTGAATACGATGTTGATTAGGGATGAAAAGTCATTTAATAGGACCCGATATCCCATTCTTCGAGTCCGGATGCAAGTTGATAATGCAAGAAATTAGACGGAGATGTTATAACACGGTAGTATCAATCAATTCACGTTTTTGAAAATGAGATAGCGATGTCAGCTTTTCGATAATATGTTGTGCAGCTTATGAAATCATTATATTTTGTTTTATAACATTAGGTCATGAAGTAGTTACTATCGTACACCCTAGCCAAATCAAGAGGGCCACTCCCACAAGTTCCTGAACCTTGAACCTTCTCTCAAGCTGACTATCTCAAAGCCCGCATCTACGTACCTTTATCTCAAGTATCAACGAAAAAGCCGCAAACATTCAATCTCATATTCGAGCTCACGTCTTCCCACTCTATCGTCCATAAGCCGTAACAAGACGATCCGAAATATACTGAATCTCCGCCGCCCGATAATAATCCGGCTCCACATACGCCAAACTCGTGGCATTAACATCGAAGACAAAATTCTTCGGATCATCAAGTGTATACTTTGGCCAGGAGACATTGCTCGATTTCCCCGTATTCGGATCACCGTTGACGATAAAACTAATCCACATGCCACTCATCATGACAGCCAACTCATCGAACGTCTCCGGCTCGCCCTCAAACGGATTTTGCGAAACGACATTCTCGTAGCCTATACCGCCAGTATTGTTGAAAACAAACGCTACCTCTTGGAAATGGGTAGCGCCGAATGAGAGTTTAACCCCATTCACCAACACATTCCAGCGATAGGAAAAACTGCTCACGTTGTACTTTGCCCATGATTGTGTCATGAGTCGTCGAGGCGCATGTTGTTGTAAATCTCCTGCGTAAGCCGCTGATCGTTTCCACTGTACGCCCAGGGATGCTTCGCTAGGCGATGGGCGGCCCACCAGCGCGGCTGGGATACCGACCGCTGGGATATCGGGATACAATGCTGCGATTGTGTTTGTAGTGGCGTTATCGAGACCCGATGACTGAACCATACTTAAAAACTGAGCAGTTGTGTTGATACCCTTCGTAGCATACTGAGTTCCCTCATCAAAGTTTCTACCGGTGAGGAGAGGTACTTTGACGAATTCTCCAGCGAGGAGTTGGGCGGTAGCGGATTTCTGCACAAAGTCGTTGTCGATCTGGATACCCCAGCTTGCGGATGCTGTTACGGAGCTATTAAATATCGCGCTAAGCTGTTCCGCAGGAACAGTACGCAGACAATCGAGCGTATCACTCGCATTAGAGCATCCCGCTGCGATAGTGATATTGTTGTAAACCGGTTGCCAAGCTTCAACACTCAGACGTTTAGCCGCGACTGGACTTCCACTCTGCGTAATAGCACCTCTGAATAATCCATCATCTCTTCCGCCATAAGCGATAAGTTGCAGACTGACACCTGTCGCACCGGCACTTTCTCCCCAAAGCGTAACTTTCTTCTTATCGCCACCGAAAAATCCAATATTCTCTTGCACCCAGTGAAGCGCCAATCTCTGATCTCTGAATCCTATATTTGCACTTCCTGCATCGAGGACTTCCTGTCCAAATAGGAATCCCCAACCCGAAACTCGGTATTGAATACTCACAGCAATAATTGGAGTTTCAGCTTCCACTGATTGTGCAACAATAAATGAAAGATTGTATCGTGGATCCATGGCTCCACCTGCGGTATTACCGCCTCCATGAATCCAGACTGCTACGGGCAGATTCGCATCTGGAGAGATGCCACTAGGACGCACGACGTTTAATGTTAAGCAATCCTCTGAAATGATGTTTCCCAACACCCAGTTATCAGAACTGTAGCCGATGCACTCAGGGGAATACTCCGTGGCATTACGCGGAGTATCCCATGTGGTATTGAGAGATTGAGGAGGATTGAAACGGAGCGCCCCGACGGGTGGCTGAGCGAAGGGGATACCTAGGAAAATATCTTCGTCATATGTTGGAAGATAGGTACCATAGTATGTACCGTTTAAAACACTAACTGTTGGAGATGATGTATTGTTGACACCTCGTGGTGCACTCGCTGCGACAGTTCCGATTGCGACTAATGGCAAGGAAAGAAGGAGCTTGGCAAAGATAGGATTGAACATCTTGCCGGGATATCGCGGGACTAAAAGCCCTTTATAAGATGAAAAATCGTTTCGTCAAATGCAAATGGAGAACAACCAAAAATATCTACTTCAGACGCAATGGAACAGACTAGATATCGAGAAGCTGACGGCCAAAGTAAAGTAAGCACACATACATATCAGTCAGAACAAAACGAAAGCAAAAAGAGGGGAGAGGCAAAATCATGAGTGCTCTCCACCCATTTTATACTCGAGTACCTATCCCAATCCAATTTCATCATGACCCCAAGATTCCCCGCCCCGAAAATTCTACTAGGATTATCCGTACCCCGCAATACGGGGCGTCCCACTCCCGAAGAGCACGCGACGAAGAAGACTTCTTCCCAACCCAGGTTCTTGGGCCTTTGAATACATGAATTCATACCTTGCTTGCCAACCCAATCCCAAATCAATCTTTAAGCGACCCGAAATTTGACCGGCTCGGCTTTGCTAAGCTTTCTCTCAATCATGTACTTCATCCGAACGCAAGAAATGTGGATGTGAAATGCTCATGATTCGTGAAGGGGCAGTCGGGCCCCGAATGCTTTTGGTTGTCGAAATTCGGTTTAAAAGATTGAATGATTCCAAGAAAGTTACTTCCATTAAGCATTAAATATACGAGTCCATAACACCGCCATTTCGCGTGGGGCCAGAACAAAAAGCAAAGTGACATTCATCGACAAAGACCTCGGGAGCTAAAGCAAATGCAATAAATGCAATCAATGCATCAAAATCAAACATGACAACTCATGATGGAAATGACCGCCTACCAAGTAAATCATCAGCTTTCAACAATATACCGCCACTTCACAAATCTCTTCGACTGAAAATTAAGTTCCCCCACCCCCCGAAAATCAAAGTCCCGGAATGTCAAAACCAGGAGCATTGGGCCAATTCCCCAAATGTGCTGGATCCCCACCAATTCTTACCCATGCCCCAACAGACGGAGTGGGTCCATCGAGGACAAATACCATATACCAGCCTGGCGGACAAATATGTGCGTTTGGAGGCGCAGTAATTGTGCAAGTATTATTAAATCCACAGGCCAATTGAGGAAAGAGTGTTCGTTGACCCATAGAATTACCATGCGTACTTACAACGGAGCCAAGAATGGAAAAGTTGAGGTTTGCCGTCGAGGTAAAGTTGGACGTAATAGTGAAAGGAACAATTTGCGAATAGGACCAATCCGTGTTGTTCATATAAAAAGTCGGACGAGGAAGACCGGAGAGAAGATAAGGAGGCGTGAATACTTCAACTCGATATTCTTCTGGATGAACATTGTCTTGTGGATCAGATCCAGATACCATCACTCGTCCATCGAGAAGAAGAATTGCTTCAGAATGGTAAAGACGGGCGACGGATGTATTGGCCATTACACTCATGCGTGAGTTTATGGGCAGGCGGGGGTCGTATAGAACAGCGTTGAAGTTAGGATCAGATCCGAGTCCAAATCCAGCGAAACCATGATGTGCGCCATTCAGGATGAGTGTTGTACCATCTGGAAGAGAAGCCAAACATGGCATTACACGGCGCGATGGCTAGAACATGTCAGTCAATCGCTGCGAAATCACTACAATAATTGTCTTGAGCTCGAGATTGTCGGAAACGCTTGCTACTCTTCATGTGCTCGTGGGACCAACTTCCTATTTAGGGAAGACTAGTAGCACACCTGGCAAGCATTTCAGTTATACCCATTAAATGGCAAAATTGATCGTAGGGCAAAAGAAATCAAGAGCCTCACCATTCTTTCAATCAGCCAAGTAGCATTCTTAGCTTCAGGTTGCATAGAAACACAATTATCTATGGCGAAGCCGCCCCCAGGTGTGGAACCGCCACAAATGAGCACTCCGATGGGATCTGTGTAAGGGTAAACCTGAGGTAGTAAAACCATGGCCCCCTCGAGAGGATAGTTTCGTCCGCCATTCGGATCATTTACAGCACCCGGAATGTTGGGCAGTGTCTTGATAGTCTCAAATGTGACTTCATCAAGAATTCTTGCTTCATTATAGTATGCAACAAAAATACCGGATGGGATAACGGCGAGGAATGGATATAGATTATTGGGGTCTGTACGAGCAAGAAAATCTAGATTGAGAACCGGGGCGCCTGTTGGAGGGAGTAACTCTAAGCTTGGAGATGCAGGGGCATTCGATCCTTCTTCGCCACCGACGATCAAAATTGAGCCGTTTGCCTTGTAATAGTGTTAGTAAATGCTATTTAAAAATCTGGAGATGGTTATACGAACCATAATCATTGCCGTGGGGTACCACCGAGCGACGAGAAGGCGCACCTCGTTCACATTTTCCTGCCAATCATTGGTTCCCCAGACATTAGGGGATCCATCCGGCCAGTAAAGTCGTACACCGTATGTTGATTCGCCGGACCACTAAGACTCATGAATATCAGCATCATAATCTTAGTGTCAGGATTGACGCAAATCATAAATGTGTGACAAGCTGAGCTGAGATCTTGAGATATTACACAGGGGGCCACCAAAATTCGTGAATTAATGGGAAGAATGTATGCTCTTACCCCTCCCACATCTATATGTCTCCCAGCAATATCCGGAAGAATAAGTCCTGCGGAGCAGAAGACATCAGTTTCAACATGCATTGGTCTCCATGCCAGTGTAAAATTATCGATTGCTGAGAGATCTAACTCATATGCGCCTGTCGAGTTTGGCTCGCCCGTCCCGAACTTTTCAACGAATGTCACCTTGCCAGTAATCATTTGGGAGGTCATTAATGGTATGCACACACCGCCTATTAGCAATGAGTGTTCACCAGCATTGGGGCCCTCTGGAAATGACCAATTGTAGAGCGCCGGTCCATCCCACGAGTAATAAGATAAGCGACTGTCTCCGCCGCATATAGTAGAGGAATTACCAGAGCAGACAACTTGGCAGTTAGATTCACTAATCAATGATGCTCCAGCCGTTATGATATTCTCCACGTCTCCACAAACTGAAGATTCTGTCAATTTACGTGGTATTTGGGAAAAGCAATCATGACTTACAGCATTGGGAGCCGTACTCGAGGCCAGCTGCATTATAGCCGAATGCTTGACACTGCGAAAGACAATTCGTTGCGGTATTATTTGAAGTGATCATTTGATAGGGGAATGTTCTAATGCCTCCTATATTATCTCTAAAATTTTACTCTATCAGCCTGCATGAAATCGGATAGCTCTTAAGAGGCAACTGACTCGAGGCACCCTTTATAGTTCCAATCACCAGGTAAATCCCTTTGCTGAACAGTCGCAGGTTGAGATGTTTGTACACTGCCAAAGGAGTAGAGGGACAATCTATTTCCAGCACCGCAAATTTCGCTTGAATTACCACTGCACGGCATGTTACAGTCAGCAGGTGAGGTTGCAAGAACACCTCCATTTCTGACAAAATTATCACAAAAACATTCAGAGCTATACTCCATGCCTGCGACAATATAATTTAGTCCGGAGCATGTCGCAACACAAGATTCGACAGTAAGGTTCTGATTATCAGGTTGCTGATACGTCAGAACACGACCTTGTGCTCCATCAACCCAGCAGCCACTGTAAACCCATCCAGTAGGGAGATCTGTCACACCCGTGGACAAGCTTGAAGGAGGAGCGGTAGAGCTTAGAGTGTTATTTAGTAAGTACACGGTCAATCTTCCGGAAGCACCGCAGAATTCGGAAACTATTCCCCGCACAAGGGAAGTTACAGTCTGTATTTGGAGCTGACACAGAGCCAGCGGAAAAGGCATTGCCACAATAGCCTGTTTTTTCTTGGTTAGTTCAAATTGTTGAAATTTTTGGAACGGTGACTAACATTCTCGTCCGTATTCGGTTCCAAAATAGGTGTAACCAATGCAGCTTGCTTCACATGACTCCAGTGTCATGTTTCCAGCATCAGAAGCCTTGGAGGCAAGTGCTCGAGCGCTTGTAGCTTCAGTCTGGCACCCAAAGTAGGTATATACACCAAGTGTTTGTTGAATTGATGGGGAACCCGTGGAAGAAGGTGCTGTTCCAGTCGTGGTAGCAGTAAATGGCGCGGTAACAATAACCGTATTGTTAAAATCATATACATCAAGTCGATTGGTCCCACCACAAAACTCTGAAGAGTTGCCTGCGCATAATGTAGAACAACCGCTAACGCCCTCCGGTGCGAGAGCTCCTCCGTTAGACAATTGATTTCCACACCCTAAGAAATGGTGAGCTTCCAGAAAATTCGACGATTTTGTGTGATTCTATCATATACATACAGCATTCATCAGCGTATTCAATTCCAGCCAACGAATAGCCTCCTTCTTGACACGCCGCTGTGCAGGTATCCACCGTCATGGGAGAAGCTATAATTTGGTATATCAAAAGTCGGCCTGTTTGACCTTCTCTGCCATCTGTCAGATTCTATAGTAGTCACTTATTAGGCAAATAACTAACGTGTAGCACCCAGAAAAGCTCCAGAGTCCAGACCCAGGATTAGTTTGAGGTGGAGATTTACCGTTCCAGAAAAGATTCAGTCTATTTGGGCCACCTGCATACATAACGAGTTAGTCCTGCATAAAAAGACTTGAGAACAATGAAACCAATAAGACCATTAGACTTACCGCAAAACTCAGTAGCATTTCCTGGGCACTTCATGCTACAGTCTGAAGCTAGCGCACGCCCAGCTCCAGCTGCAAGACTGTTGCCGCAATCTGGATGAAATTTTAGTGTTGGTGTATCAAATAATTCGCAAATCCGGAAGAAACATACAGCATTCTGAGGCGTACTCTGTTCCAGCATAGTTGAGGCTTTTGGAGGCACAATATGAAATACATGATTCATCTGTCATGTTTGTGTTGTCAATGTATTCTCCCTCGGATAATGTCCGACCAACGTCCACATAGCATCCTTGAGATACCCAAGTGCCCGGCAGACTCTGCGAGGTGGTAAGCTCGTTTCTAAGAGCATGATTAGAGGCAGCTACGGAAGTAGCAAGCTATTGTGGGTTAGTAAACTCAAGTAAATCCAAAGAATAATAGTTTCAACTCACGAATGCTGCGAGCAGTGTCACAAGTGCACTGCGAAGATAGTTTAAAATCATGATCGCAAGTAGTTTGTGTTGTATTTAGAGTGTAGCCTGAGAGAGTGAAGAAATTTTTGACAAGATTGACTTAATTTGAAGAGTCCTTATATAGAAGAATCCAGATCTTTCATTTGGAGATAGGTTGTAATTGAGATGTAAGCTGAGCTAGAGACGGACAGTGATTGCACAGCATATTGATAGTGGCAGGTGCCTGCTTGAACTTCAAGTAGGATATTTTCCCCATTATCAAATAGAGAAGGTATCGCCTTCCGTTTGTTCCTTCCCGTATCATCGGAGGACTAAGTTGAGAGACTTTGCATCGATCATCATCTCAAAACTTACACCTCACAGGGTAAAACATTCCATATCGAGTATCACTACATATCATGACGCTCGAACGGATTTATGTTGTGTTGAAGAGATTCCAGTCTGATCAGATGCATGTGAGGCTCATTGGCTCATTGGCTCATTGGCTCATTGGCTCTCAGTCATCTCTGTCAATATCTGATCGCGTTGACTTTGTGCAGGAATTGTTTTTCTCATCGGATCCTCGATTAAAAGTAGGTAATCATTAATGAAGCTTACCAACGTGTAGATAGATATTTGGGCAATAAGGAAGATCTCGGGGTGATATAAGTCGCCCACCCTATTTTCGGGCCACCCCTGTTTTGGGCCACCCTTCCACACCAAAAATCACTTTTTAGGCCTATTAATATCTCTATCAATATATAATATAATTTGATAAAAATTTATATACATATAATCTAGATCGATTTAAGCTTATTCTGAAAAATTTTGATCTTTAGGATTTTTCTGCATTGAGATTTAGAGCTTCAAAATGTCGATTTTTATTTTGTATAAGAATCACATACAATTTAGAAATTTTATAAAATCTTTAATAACTTTTTAATAACAACTATTAAAAGAAAATTGTTATATCTTTTTGAAAGGTTTGATTCAAATCTATATATAAATTCAAAAAAAAATTTAAAAAATGTAACAGATATAGAGATATACTACTACATTGAAATTTAGGAGTAGTATAAATAAGCCCTGTTTATTTGAGGGTATTCTTTTAAATATTTATTATAAGAATTTGCTATTTTGTTCTGATCTATTGAGTAAATATACTACAAATTTATAAATAAAAATTTTATAATTTATTTTTAGCAATTTTTGTATTAGAAAGTTATCAAAGATTTTATAATTTCAAATTGTATATGATGTCCTATACAAATTTAAAAATCGATATTTTAAAAGGCTCAGAAATCGATTCAGAAAAATCCTAAAATTTCTGAAATTTTCAAATATAGCTAAAAATGCTCTAGAATTATATAATATATATATATATATATATATTTTCAATAAATTCTATTTATAATTAAGAAATTAAAAATGTCATTTTTAATATAAAAAGGGTTGAAAAGGGGGGTGGCCCTAAAGTAGGATACCCGACTTATTACCAAAATCAGTTTATAGATGGCTAGTAGATGCTGTGACCACAAAACGCTGGGGGTGTCAGTCAAGGAGGACGAACCATTCCATTAACGTGTTAACACCACCTAATGGCCGGGACTTTACCTAGCCCCGGCAGAAGAACAAATTTGTTAAAGAAAAAAGAAACATAACAAACCTCAAATATCGAACTTCTTCCACTTGTTACGACTCGCACGACTCGCAATACGTCTTTCTCTCAGTGATAAAAACCTTTTAGAAATCTTGACTCTCATCTTCTCATAAATGATATCTATCATTTAGCCTGGAGATATTGCGACGACGAGATGTATCATGGCAGAAAAAAGTGAAAGCGCGTGATGGATAGGAAAAGAGAGAGAGAGAGAGAGAGAGGTAGAGAGATGCAATCTCCTATGTTTGGGGCGGCCGAATCACGAAGATATGTACATCTAAAAGGACTGGGTGAGTTTCTATTACGACCATCCTCAGTTGTGGACAATTCCTCCGTTTAGTGGAATGGCATTTACGTTTTGTTCTACAGTTACAAACGCCAAAAGTTCAATGGAGATTATCTTGTGCAGTAGCTTTCCCTCTGTGAAAGTTGACTGTATTGGAACTGCTCTCTTCCAATATGAGCGGGATTCGGTTCTAGAAGGGGATCTTCATCAACTTACAAGGTATTCATTCTAAGAAGTTCGAAGGGTTTTTACTGTTGGAAAGTCCAAGTGATGCGGGTTTGTTCTTCCTTTTCCGGGTGCATATCTAGCTTTTCTACACCACTGCATGTAGTGCCACCAAAACCCATTGCACGCGCATGTTTTCAGCCCCCCAGACCCTGCGCACATCAAAGGCAACAGTTACCTAAAGAATGGGTCGATTGAGATATCTTGAGAAGGCAGTCGCTAGCTTTCTCAGCTGAAATTTACAATCCACAAGAGTTCAACGCCTGACCGCGTCTAAACCAAATATTTCGATATCCCGAACTTCAAGGGCCGTCCTCAATGTAGTCAACTTCCCAATTTGATAAGCTATGGGACTTGCCAAGATTTGGCCGTTTCGGTCCAGATCTCGATCCTCTGAACCTACGGCCAAGTCAACACCGCGATCTGATAAGGGTCAACTAAGGCCATTTCCTTAGACCATCCATTCACTGCCAAGTCCCATAGCGAATTTCATTTGTTTTCAATTATAATCAGATTTCCAGATGATGCTGGTCTCCATTAAGCTCAAATTCACTTCGACCCTTTTATCACAACTTCTTTGCTCTTACATGCCATGGTTCATTTGCCTATCATACAGTATGATTCCAAGTGGCATTATTAATTTTTATCAATTGCAAACCTGCTATCGAGTCACAGAACAGGCTACAGTCTAAGAGATGTTTAGTTTCATAAATTCGATGACAGTTATTACAATTGCACTCCATAGTAGAAAGGTCACAGAGAAAACTTCTCATCAGACCGGTTGAAAATACTGTTCCAAGTTCATCTTTCAAGCCTGTAAGTAGAATGCTCTTTGCAGTCAATTGTTCCAATTTCTTTCTTCGCCGCGAAGGGTTTGTTAGGGATAATCGTGAAGCAACTTTGTTGCGATGTCACTGGGCCAGATTGCCACATCACTCAGCTTAGTGGTTGAAACAAGACAAAGCAGCATTCGTTCTATGAGGAAAATTTAGATTAAAATGAAATAATTTCAAAAGAGAATGTAAACAACCAGAATACTTCTTGGTTGTAATTTTGATTATTAAAGAAAATACGAAGCCTATGCCATCATCAACGCGGCAATATTTGGCTTTGCTATCGTTTCGCCTGCAGTCTCTGTTTGTAGCACAAGTGTTTTTACATCCACCACTTTGTCAGTATCGGTCACTATTTACACTTCTAGCTTTAGAACGAATTCATTGGTCTTGACTTGGATGGAAATTACAACTCTTTCCACCACTACTACCACAAGCAAACTGAAAGCTTATGACTACTAGCACTAATTCGACAACTTCGGTTTCATCAACTTACTCGATGGAAACCTCATTATCATCATCTACTTTATCTAGGTCCTGCGACTTCGTCAGTACCAATCACGTAAACTTCTTCGTCCTTGCCTTCTATTCCTGGTTTCACCGCGCTTTTGAGCCCGCTCAAATGAGAAATAATACCAGTGAAAAGACTTCTCTACTTTAAACCTGTTCTCGTATTCTGCTTAGTTTCGATTCGGCGACTAGTTCTTTAAGCATAATCCTGGCAACCCTAATCTATGAATGTTCCAATGGGTCTCTGGTCGCTTCATTTACCAATGGATGCCAATTTTAGTTGTATCTAAATAGCGTTGTCGGACATGGACTGAACGGACACCCCGAATCTTATGGTTTAAGATACTGCAACGGAGTTGAGGCTGTGACATTGACCTCCAGGCTCCAGCTTAAGATCTTCTACCCCTCCGAATCAACGATGAATGATTGCGGAACTAAGAAGAGGCAGATACAGTGCTATGTCTGCAAGTTAACTTGCTAGATTTCGGACAACGCACATCACTTGCATGCGATGCTCTCAAAAATTACACTCTTACGACGCTCGCAGATTATTATGTTTAGAGTGGACTTCGCGATCTTAGCGGGGCAGACTGGGGTTCATCTTGGACACTGTGGGATTTTCCAATATAAATATGTGGACGAGTCTCAATGCAGCAGGTCAAAGTCTATCGCCAGCTGGGCAATATGCAAAGTTTTTCCTCTCTGGCAGCCTAACAAGATCCATGGCCAGCTGGCTGCCCGCCATCGAGATCATGGACGTCATGTCTGCGATTTCTTCATACCTCATGATTATATAAAACACGAGTTGTTCTGTTATCGTTTCCTCATTGGTTCAATAAATGGAGCATGCATGCTACCTCAGTCTAGGCTTCCGGAAGACGACCGCCTGATGCCGTTTCTTCAGAGTCCGTACACCACAATTCAAGAAATCGCAGTATTCCCTCCGGGCTTCTGCACAATTCAATAAATACATCAATAGTTTGCAAAGCAGTAATCAACTTCCCTGGATATCGATGTCGATCATTTCTCCAACGAGTCCCTCGTGGTAAGAATTTGCACCATGACAACCTATAGATCGTCAAATTTGTTATGGTTGTCAGCAATCTTCAGTCAGATTTCAGCTGATGCCAGCAGAGTTCTCAGTGAATTCGGATTTATCTCCTGAATAGGGAGGACAACTGAGAAAAGCTGCCCATTTTATGCATGTGTCGGTATCGTATTGGGAGGCACAGGTGAAGATTTGTTATTGTGGCGTCGAACCATTCGGTTGGCGTATATTTGACACACCTGCTACTACCGATAACCAAATCCTGGGACCTGCCAAGACTAGACTGAGTGCATGATTTGGTAGTAATCAGCTGCATGATAACAGTCAGTTGTAAAATTGAACCAATGGCCGGGAATCTGTTCAACAAATGTGTATTGAAGAAGAAGCCACCAGGTTTGATGCCACCTAGAGGCATGTGATCAGGGATCTTATTGGCAACCAAGAGTCTCACGGCCGTAAACGGTTTGGGTAAGCAACAATATGATTCGCTCACAGTATTGCGATGACACATTGGCTTTTTTCTACAAGCAAGTTTCCCAAGCTGAGAGCTTCCTTTTCAATCAAAGTCTGCATGGAGATAGATGAGAGCCGCGCTAAAGTGTTCCGTGTTCCGAGCTTATATACAGATTAACCACTCGCGTATCTACCTTCAGACATGGGAATTTGAGAATGTTTTTTATTACACGGGATAAAATGGGGGTTCTTGAAATCCTATATCGATAAGCTAGTGCGGGCAACGCCGCCGTTGCAGGGGCCCCTGATATCTATCTCATCGCCTTCAAGATGCGGAGGTTAGCTTATTTCACTACCCACTTCGTGCTACTATTAAAGAACGAGAATGACGATCATGTAGTTTCAGATCAGGCTGTTTTACTTGAGTAACTTCATTGTAAGTCATTTACCCAATTCCGACAATAAAGTGTAGATCTTACTGACAGCCCATAGGTTTTGTCCTCAGAAATATTGCACTGTACCTTCCGAGCGCCAATATGCTCGCACTATGGTCCTTCCTCTCGCTGACAGTGGTGCACACTGTGCAGGCAGCAATGAGCATTGGGGTATCGAGTTCCCAAGCTACAAATCCAGCTTCCTATGCTGTTGATGGAAACTCCAGCACATTCTGGCATAGCGAATACAGCCCTGTTCTTGTTCCCTTGCCACACATAATATACCTTGACACAGGCTCAGCACAAGTTCTCAATGCCTTTACCTATACACCAAGACAAGATGGTAAACGCAATGGAAATATCGGTGACTACTCATTGGCTGTCAGTACAGACAACGAGACTTGGTCAACGGTTGCGACTTCCACTTTCCAAGACGACGCTACCAAGAAGACTGTAGGGTTTGCAAATACACAAGCTCGATATTTCCGCTTGAATGCTACCACTGAAGCTGGAAATCGTGGTAGTTGGACCAACGCAGCAGAATTCGGTTTCTCAATTGCCCCAACTGCTGTTGGGGGCTTGGGAGAATGGGGTCCAGTGATTAACATGCCACTTGTTCCGGTTGCTGGTTTTATCGAGTATTCCACAGGAAACATATGGACTTATGCAGCATACAGTCCCCTGGCTTTTCAAATAGGTCTACATGGCTACACTATTTCAGCAGTGTACAACCCTACAACCGGTGCCATATCTTCAGCGAATGTTTCTAACACCCAGCATGACATGTTCTGCCCTGGTATGTCTTTGATGTTTGATGGACGCGCTATTGTCACAGGAGGAGATACCGCAAACAAGACGAGCATATACGACTCTGCTACCGATCAGTGGGTAACAGGACCCGTTATGAAAGTTCCTCGCGGTTACCAATCGACCACTACAACATCAACAGGAAAGGTTTTCAACATCGGCGGATCTTGGAGTGGTGGCTATGGTGGAAAGAATGGAGAGATTTATAATCCAAAGACCAACACATGGTCCCTACTATCAGGCTGCCCAGTCAAACCAATGCTCACTGCTGATGCACAAGGTGCCTTCCGTACCGATAATCATGCATGGCTATTTGCTTGGAAGAATGGATCTGTATTCCAAGCTGGTCCAAGTAAAGCGATGAACTGGTATGGAACGACTGGTACTGGATCTCAAGTCGCTGCAGGACTTCGCGCTTCCGATCCAGACTCCATGTGTGGAAATGCAGTCATGTATGATGCAGTCGCCGGAAAGATCTTCACAGCCGGTGGATCTCCCAGTTATCAGAATTCGGCTGCGACTAACAATGTTCATCTGATAACAATCGGAAGTCCTAACGTTAATCCTACAGTCCAAACTCTGACATCAATGACATACAAACGAGCTTTCGCAAACGGCGTCGTACTACCAAACGGAAAGATCTTTGTGATAGGAGGCCAACCATATGCAGTTCCATTCACAGACACAGATGCAGTGTTGACACCGGAATTGTGGGATCCCACAACACAAAATTTCACAATCTTACCTCCTCATGCCATCCCAAGAACATACCACAGTATGGCTCTTCTGATGCTCGACGGAAGGGTTTTCACTGGAGGTGGAGGATTGTGTGGATCCAGCTGTGCCACAAACCACGCCGATGCACAAATATACAGTCCAGCATATCTTTTCAACGCCAATGGAACCGCCGCTACGAGGCCCGTCATCTCCTCAGCCACTTCTACCGTTGACATCGGTGGAACACTCACAATCGTTACCGACACCGCTGTAACCAGTTTCTCAATCACTCGATTCGGATCAGCAACCCATACTGTCAACACCGATCAACGACGTATTCCCCTCACACCTGTTACAACAAGTGGCAACACTTACACCTTCACCATCCCTAATGATGCAGGAATTGCACTCCCAGGATACTGGATGTTCTGGGCCATGACTTCTGCAGGCGTACCCAGCGTCGCATCGACCATCAAAATCACACTCTGAATAAATGAGCAGAAGTGATTGGAAGTTCGGGTTCCGGCAGTGATTAAATACACTATGGGATATTTTCATAATTTTTTACCCAAATTGCATCTTATATAATGAGTAATCCAGTATTTAGCAGTATTAATTCAAGCACCTGTCAACTTTTTGCGAGCTTTGTTAGTGTAACCGGGACCCGCGTACATGAGATGTGTGATATGATATGTGATACCAACAGTTGGATACAGTCAGCCGCCACCTTTATATTAACTAATCAACATACCGCCCGCCCTAAATTTCTAATTGGATAGGTATGATACTGGTACACAAAACGTGAACCGCTAACAACGGACTGATAAACAATCAATCTCAATTGTACAACTTCATCCAATGGGAGTTAGTATTCGGGTCCCGGATAGGAGGAGTTATTCCAAATTCCAGAATCAAAATAACGTCATGAATTGTGATATCGCATCAACATCCGCATCAACATTCCTGAAAGGATTTTGGGATTTTGCGGCGTGGTATTCACTGTCTCGACGCAAACGTATAAAGTGCGAGAGGAATCCTTATTTAATCCTTTATCCCCACCAGACTCTCAACTTCGAATCTTATCCCACTTGCAAAACGTACGATACCCATCAACAACAATATATTGAAACACGTACATAATTCTCAGAAAGTTAAATCGCAATCATGCCTCTCCCATCCGACCCCGCAGTAGTCAAAACAAGTGAAGGACTAGTCCATCAACTCCAATCTATGTTTGGCAAACATGCCGGAAAACGACCTGGTTAGTCACTCCATCATCAATTCCACAATTCAATCTAACTTCCTCCTGCAGCCCACGCAAAAGGACTCCTCCTAACCGGAACCTTCATTCCTACCTCCACCGCAAGCAGCCTCTCCTCTGCCCCTCACTTCTCCTCCCCCTCCACCCCCATCTGGATCCGCTTTTCAAACTCCACCGGCATCCCTTCGATTCCCGATTTCGACGCCAATGCCGATCCCCGCGGGATCGCTATCCGCTTTATTCTCGATGCCGAGAAACACAAACATACCGACATAGTTGCTCACTCTACTCCCTTTTTCCCCACCCGTACCGGCGATGAATTTCTCGAGTTCTTGAAAGCCGCAGCGAGTAGTGGAGAAGGTGTTGAGAGTCCGAAACCTATTGAGAAGTTTCTAGATGCGCATCCTAAGGCTTTGGATTTTGTGACTGCGCCCAAGCCGGCGCCGACGAGTTGGGCCAGGGAGAATTATTGGGGTGTTAATGCTTTTAAATTTATTGCTTCTGAGGGAAAAGAAACTTTTGTGAGATATAGGATTGTTCCTGTTGAGGGTGTTGAGATTGCGAGTGAGGAGCAGAAAAAGAGTTTGGGGGAGAATTATCTGACGGAAGAGATTGTAGCGAGGTTAGAGAAGGGAGCGGCGGAGTTCAAATTGGAGGTGCAGATTGCGGAAGAGGGAGATGTGACGGATGATGCAACTGTGCATTGGCCGGAAGAGAGGAAGGTTATGGAGTTGGGACGTGTTAAGGTTGAGGGATTGTTGGGAGAGAATGAGAAAGAGCAGAAACATATCATTTTTGATCCAGTACCTAGGGTAGAGGGTATAGATGTTAGTGGTGATCCTTTGGTAGATGTTAGGGCCGGAGTTTACTTGATCAGTGGAAAAGAGAGGCGAGCTGCATAAGAAATGGATGGGAGAGGAGTATGGAGGATGAGAACAAGATCTAGGAAATCAAGCATATGGGCGATTTCAACTTTCGGTTCACTTGATAAGTTCGGTCACAATGCTGCCGTTTACTTGTTCACTTGAGCGCAAATACATGATTTCTGCAATATATCAGATTACTTCATGCAATTATATCTGCCGTGCAATGTAATTCTGACCAATCTCGTCCTTGCGACTCAACAATTTTCGTTGCCAGGCACGAAGGAAATACAATAAACTCCCCAAGGATATACATTCATAACCTGCGTGACTTAAGTGCTTTTCCTCAACTCCTTCATATCATCTATTCCCGCCTCCTCAATCCCAACCCCCTTCTCAACAGCTGTCAACACAAACATCATTCTCGCCCAACCCTCCCCCTCCGTAGCATTTCTCCAAGCATGATTTGTCGCCCGCTGAACACACACATCACCCCTCTGCATAATTTTCTTCTCTCCCGAATCCAAAACCAACTCAATCGTTCCTTCCAACACAACTCCATAATCCAAACTCACTGTTTTATGCATTGGACATGTGTAACCAGGCGCAAAATCCACGAAGCGAACGACTGTTCCCGTGGAGATAGAGAGACCGGGAGGCGAAGAGAGGTCTGATTTGTAGGAAGCTATGTCGATGGGTGTAGTGGATGTAAAGTTTTGGGATGCGGGGGCATGAGAGAGTGAGGCTGGGAATTGATGCGTAGTGTATGCGAGGAAAAAGTCCATGTCATTGTTTTGGATCGGTTGCCAGACAGATTCTGGAGATATACTGGGTTCAAGGATAGCTTTGCCATTTGGATCGGTCGTTGTTATAAGACGTTGAAGATTTGGAAGACCATTTGGAAGGAGTTCTCGTTGTTCAGTCGACATTCTGATCTAGCTTGGGTGCTTGACAGTTTTAATTGTCGAAGATATTTAGTTGCCTAAGCACCAAAATTCTATATATTCTGGATGCTTTTGAGGTTCCAGGAAGATTCGATCGGAATTGATTGTTCCTCGCAAGTTCTCTGAGATTGCGTTGTGCTTTATTACCATGCTGTAAATTTAGTCGGATGTCCGAATAGCTAGCTCTCTATGCGGGGTAAAATGAGGGGTCAGAAAGACGCCCTGTGTATCTAGTAGGTAGCTCGCCCTTTCTTCATTCGGCAAAGCTTCGTCTGACGTGCATCGATAAGAATATGACTGATGTCGTGCACCACCAAGCTAAGACGACTTTTTACATTCTACTGCTCCGCAATTCTGGATTCCACTGAATTTCAATATTTTAATTTCTTCATTACGAGGGCCTGTTTTTGATGAGGGCCCGGATAAAATTTAAGCGAATTTCCTTACCAAAAACTATGCTTTATTTTCTATTTTTATAAATAAAAGATAATTCAGATATTCATTATAAAGCTTTATAATTTGAAATTTATTTGGAAAATTAATCAATATTTATTTTGATATTAATTTTGATGATTTTGATGAGATATTGATTAATAAATCTTATATAGAATTTCAATTCTTAAAACAAGTATTATGTTACGGGATCACTTCTAGAAGTATTCAGAAGTTTTATTACTGAGCTAAATGCTCAAAAGACTAAAAGATAGAACTAGAAGTTCTACCTTACTTTTATATATATAGCAGGACAGGACAAAACAAAAGAGCTTAATATCACTTTGTAATATTACCCCCCTTCTTAAGGTATAGTCTTTATACTATCATCTACTAGGAGGTTTCAGGATTCTGGATTCTAATACCTCAGGTATTCAGATAGGCAAACAGAATCTATGTATACTAGTCTCCAAACTAATAAAGGCTTGTAAGCTATAAGTGGGCTCCCCACATAGCTCTATTTATAATCAAGGGTAGTTCTATTTAATGTTATGGGATCATTTCTAGAAGTATTCAAAAGCTTTACCGTTAAGCTAAATGCTCAAAAGACTAGGAGGTAGAACTGGAAGTTCTACCTTACTCTCACATATATAGCAGGACAGGATAGGACAGAAAGGGCTTAGTGTCACCTCGTGATATATTATTTTCTATAATAATTTTAAGTATTAATAATTCCTTATAAATTTTAATTATATTAAAAGGTTTTATCAACAATTAAAAATTATATTATAAAACTTTATATCAAAATCTATTTATTTATAAGGTTTCTGTCACAGGATCACCTCTGGAAGTATTCAGAAGCTTTACCGCTAAGCTAAACGCCCAAAAGACTAGAAGATAGAACTAGAAGTTCTACCTTACTCTCACATATATAACAGGACAGGACAGAACAGAAAGGGCTTAGTGTCACCTTGTGACACCACCCCCCTCCTTAAGGTATAATCTCCATACCATCACCTACTAGGAGGTTTCAGGATTCAGGATTCTGGATTCTAATACCTCAGGCATTCAGACAGACAGACAGGATCTATATATACTAGCCCCCAGACCAATGGCCTGTAAGCTATAAGTAGGCCCCCCGCACAGCTCCATATATAACTAAGAATAGTTCTATTTAATGTTATAGAATCACCTTTAGGAGTATTCAAAAGCTTTATCGCTAAACTAAACGCCCAAAAGACTAGGAGATAGAATTGGAAGTTCTACTTTACTCTTACATATATAGCAGGACAGGACAGGACAGAAAGGGCTTAGTGTCACCCCGTGACAGTTTCAAATATATAATATTATTAAATCGATTTAATATTGAATTCTAAAGTAAATGAATTTTAATAGAGAAAATACTTATACACGGATCCGGGCCCTTATCAAAAACAGGCCCTTGTATATATGCCTAAGTCTCAAGCTCGTTTTTACACATCTTCATTATTCACAGATTTTACCCGTCAACCGAGGCGCAAATAGCTTGGCACTCTCACAACTCAACTGAATTGACATCGATCTCATACCCAAAGCTTTTGTTCTGTTGTCCCTTATTAATTGGTAGTTCACACAATCCTCGGAAGCTAGCAAGTACATCTAGATCATATCGACCACGTCAGAGGAGCTGAAAGCTCTTAGCGTTGATTTTAGTCTCGCTAGCCCTAAACGCTCACATTAGAGACTGTAGTATGATATAAACAGTGTACAGTGGTTTCTAAATCAATAATCCATTGCACCTCCTCCGAAAATGATATTGTTGGGTCGGCCAAGACAGATTTTATTCTTGAACCTAGAACTCCAGATTAGTAGATGAGAACAAATCGTATAGCTTTGTTAGAGAAATATCGACACTAAGCCCGTACGAAACTGGAACAAAACCTCTCGCTTGCTAAATCGCCCCTATAGCACATTAGCATTTTTTCTATCGAGCCACATTTGATTACAGAGACTAGATAGCAATACACCTTAGAACGAATAAGCATCCTATTACAGCGTTAGTGATAGATACGCATCATATAGATAGGTATACTTAGTGGCTTATCTTGAATTGCATATAGAGAACTGAGCCTTACAGATTCAGAAAGAAAAAAAAAAATGAACAGCTTAGACTTGGCAAAGTTAAAACTGTACTAAAGTTCAACACTTGTAAAGTTTGAAAGCTAGAGGATTGTAATTGCCATTTTGAAGTTCTCAACCTTCCCGAGCGTCCCAAAATAGTCACCGAGCGTGATGTATGCGGACTGCCGTATTTCAAGCGTACAGAGAAAGACGAGAAATGGACGGAAAGTATGACCGAGTGACATTCGTCGTGCAAAGGAAAGTAACACTATTTTATGACAGAGGAGCAGGCTTGGATTTAGCGATGATTGATCGCAACCATAACGCTACGATGTTTTATGGAGAAATATTTAAGTTTCTCATTGAATCTTCACAGCCGAATGTATCATAAGATCTCACACTGTAGCCGAAATACCACCCGTATTCAAATGATACTTGGTCCTGATTGTTGATTAGCAAAAACTTGCATCGCTCTAACTTACACGCTACCTATCGATTTCCAAATAATCTTCTATGGATGGAAATGAAAGAAATTGCAAAAACGAAACAGTTTAGAAATCATCAAATAAAAGAGATTGTCTATAATGATCGTGATAGATGCTCATCTGTGATGACAAAATCGCAAAGACGACAAAATTCGCAGTCAAGGAGCATTTTGCAAATCGCGAGATCAATGACTGATTTCACAACGTCTAACTGCTGTAACTCAGCGGACCACTAGAGTTTCGAGCCACGCTGTTCATCTCTCTCCCTGAACGCTCGCTCGATCATTCTTTTCTTTCGCATCTCCACACCGGCTCGGGGCGAACGGCCATCTACATAACCCATGAAATCATGCGTAGAGAATCCCATCAATTTCAAGAGCCTCTCTGGAACCTTGTCTAAATCATCCCAGCCCATTGCAATTGTCATGTTTTCAAATGTCCGTATCCAGGGTTGACAATACTGAACTGTTATACTGCGACGAGCCTTGTTTGAGGTATTCGCTCCACCCGAATGCCAAAGAGTATTGAGAAAATAGACCATGCTGCCTGCTGGCATTATTACCGGAATCATTTCCTCTCGGGTTGGGATGCGGTCGTCCGACCATAAATGTGACCCTGGAATTACAGTAGTTGCACCGTTGTCGGCAGTGAAATCATCGAATGAGACCATGGTGCCCTATTCAGGTTGTGAGCCTTTCTTATCCGATTCATACAATACAGAAAGGAGCCTAAGTACAACATACAATACCGATCAGTGGCCTTGGTCTCGGCAGTGCGATCAATCCATCATCGCAATGTATAGCCTGCGCAGTTTGTCCAGGATAGATCACCACAGTATGCAGACTGGTAATTAAATAATTGGGTTGGAGGAAGTAATCGTTCAATGCCAAAACAGTGGGGTGTATTGGAAACTGGTCAAACGCCCGGGATTTGTCTGCAAGAGCATATACTCTTCCAGTCTTGAAACCCTCAAAATAGTTTCGACCAGCAATTGCAGCAGGCCCAGCGTCAAGAGTTTCAAGTCGTGCCACTTCGGAATTTGCTATATCTACTTGCTCTGGCGTAAATATGTTAGGGAGGATAACATAGCCGTGTTCGAGGACGTGGTCGATGAGATGTTGTACTGATGGATCCTTCTTTCCGGGCAAAAAGGTTGTCCCTTGTCCAAGTTGAATACGATCACTAATTCCTGTTGTGAATTTGACTATTGGCGGATTATTGTCAGACTACACGTGGATGACATTCATGTTAACAACGACTAGTAGATATCAAGGGATTTCATTAAAGGTTGCTCACCATTGTCATCCTTAAATCTCCGATACTCTGGATTTAGCTTGCAGTGTAATGAGGTAGAAGAGGAAGCAACTTTCTTTGCATGATTAAGATGAGAATGGCTGGTATGTGTATGAAGAGTACAACCTCGGCCTCATTAGTCTTGTGAACCTACCTAGATAGAAAACGAAGCTTTTCGGGAACACTGTAGTAGCACGAAGCTGATGATTGCCCTCATTGGAAAAATCTGGGGAAGCACAAGCCGGGTGAAATGAGGGGTAACCTACTTATTAGTCAGCTTTGCTATCCTTACAGATAGATCCGCTTTTCCCGCTATTCCGCCCCTCGCTTGCTTCATCCTGCCCGATCTCTACGTAAGAGAAAAAAGAGGCCGGGTTTGATCACTTTTAATACTTTCAATAAACCAAATTCTTCTCCTTAAATCTAAAATAAAATATAAACTTTGATAAGAATCAGTATAAATAAAAGGTGAAAAGTAATTTGATATTTTGAGATTTATTGGTTATATTTGTGGTTGATTTATAATTCAATTAATTCAGAGATTTTGTTAAAGATTTTATGTGGTCAAAATCGGCCTCTTTTTTCTCCTACGTAGAGCCGATGTCACTTACCGGTTTACTCATTCTTGTTCTAATCGCCGCCTTTCCCACAGAACGTAGCGACAGGAACCCCTAGAATGCGTTTTACTGAGTTTACTCCGGAGTATGTCTTGACTGGCTCGTGAGCAACTTCTAGTAAGTGATTGTGTAAAGACTCAACCCAATCTTACAACGGAATCTTAACTTTAGAGAACTACATTCCGTAATTCTGTCGTGTAATAACTGTGAATCTCATTGTAGCAAAATTCTTCTTGTGGACCGAGAAGCCAAATAGTGAAGTTGCTGTACTACACTGTACAAAAATTCTCCCTCTTCAAAAGTGCAATGCTCAGTCTGCCAGGAACTCGTGCAATCTTCTAGCAAGCCTCATGGCCTCAATCACCCCTAAGAGTATCACCAGCTCACCATTTTTAACATACGCGTGTCTTTAGACCTCTAAAGATGATCTTCGCCTTATTAACCTATCTTCTTAGTCGCCTTCTTCTCATGCAACCTCTTCCTCTGCTTTTGCCTCTCCTCCATTTCCACATTAATATTGACATGTTTACTCATGAAGCGCCGATATAGATTCTCCATCTTCAATCCCTTCATTGGCTTCTTCCATCGTCCTGTAATCGGTGTTCTCAATTCATCTGTATCAATAGACAAATCTTCATGACCCCGAAGTACAAAAACTATCGAGTATCTATAATGTTTCCTAGCCGACATCTCTTGTTTATCTTCATTCTCTTTTCCATGTGGCTCGTTTCTGGTCATAGTTTTTGGATACATACGTACTGAGTGGCCACCAGCCTGGTATCTGTTATTGCTCAAGAAATTTAACTCTCTCCCCACGAGTAAGGTGCCTGTATTTCTCCCCTCAAACGACTGTTCAATTGGGAACGTCTTTTTGGTTTGCATGTCCAAAACTTCCAGACCAGGTACATCGCTAATTGATAGGCTCAAGAGACCAAGGTCACGATGTGCTAACACAATTAGCCTTTTAATGCTTATGTTTCGAACGAGATAATGATGACATACGTTCCGAAACGACCTTCCCCTCTATTCCATCACTTTCGTACCTGAACAATCTGATCATAGTTGCTGTCTTCTGATGATGGAGCTTGAGACATGGCTCAGAATACCGTGTGAGCAACTCTTTCCTCATGCCCAAGCTACTAGCAATTTCTTCCAATATCTTGTTTAAAACATCCCCAGTAATATCCCAGAATTCTTTCACGGTATCCAACAATTCGGGAGGTATAGTGTTGATCTCACGTAGGGTGATGAATTCCTTCTCGCCTTCCACACGATTCCATCCTTCCTCAGTACCCTTCCCAGTAAGAAACTGAGATTTATACTCAAGCGGAAGATCAAAGAAGGATTTACTTGCTTGCAGAAGCTTCTGAGATGGAATGTGGATAGGGTCCGTGTGCGAGAAAGATAAGGTTGACCACCCTTGATCCGGAAAATGGGGTGCATGAGCAGGAAGAATAAAAGGGAATTTGACAGGTCGAAGAGGTATTTCATAGACTTCATTCGGTGATTGAATAGCGGAGATGTGGTTGTCTGTCATACCGGCAGTTTGATCTGCTCTCTTTTGCTTGGCTTGCTTGCTGTGGAATTTCAAGCTTTTTGATTGCCGTTGGCTGTGTCAACTGTTGGGATTGTGGCGTCATATATCATATATTATCATCTCCATCCATAAGGAGGAAAGTTTGTTGATCTCAATTGAAATGAATTTCAAAAATGTAATGATTTCCTGGTGTTGCTCTTATCTTGGTGTCTGTGGTGATAATTAATTGAGGCCATAGATGGTTCTGTGAGGTCATCGCTCGTCACCGGCTAAATCTAGGTTCTTGCCGTGCTAAGGTTAATAAGTTCTAGGCTTGTCTTTCTGAACTTTCGACTTTCGAATTGTTCTTTCCTTCAAAGAATCGCTCAAGACATGATACGTGAATCAAAATTCTCCAAGCCCATTCTCGATAGTTCTCATTTCAATGCATTTCAAGATTATCTGAAACGGAATTCATTGATCTTCTTAGACTTAGTGGTGGTGATGGGTGCGCCATGTCTTCGATCAAAACAATTCCTTTATTTGCATTTCAGTTATGTTTCAATACAACAAAGTATTTCTGGAAAAGCATAAGCACGAGTGTGCAACGTATTCATCATTAAAGTCAAGATATCGCACTCGCTATTGAATTGATTCACCTTGTTGGGTGTCAATCATGACTGATGAGGTATAAGAAGGGCCACAACATCTTCTCAAAATCACAATTCGAATTCGCAATCGTCTTATAAAAGCTTCCCAACTTATTATCATTAATTCTATACATCTTTTCAAGGTATCCTATCCTTCAGTTTGTGCAGGCTTTTTCTCTGCCGTCGGAATGTCTTTACGCGCAGAAGATATCCACGTAGGTTGTATCCTTCGCCCTCGCAATGATATTGAAAAGATATACCCAGGAATTAGATGCGAATGGAATAAATTATCGGATCACCGAGACGTGAACCCAGCTCTGGGATGTCCATCGTATTGTCGCCAGGATATTGCAGGCCAAAAACATCCCATTATTGTCCTCCGAAAAAATGGTGACAGTATTCTTTATGTCGCAGTTGGTAACCCTTAATCTCTCAATAATCTTCTGTTGTTTATTGATTCTTACTAGATGACTGGCAACCCAATCTATCATGATCAAGAGGGTACACAGTACTCCCCTATCGGTCACTACTTTCCTCCTGGTAGTGGGACACCACATCCTGCAAGATTTCGGTCCCGTTATTGGCTTCAAAATCCCAATCCTTGGAATGAGAGAACGATCGATGCAGCCCGTCAGAGCCCTCGTCGTAGACTCATAGAATTGGCAAAACACTCCAAGCTACGCTTGCCCCATGTTTATGTTCAGAAAGCAAATAGATTCAAAGCCTTTGGAGGTCATAACACGTCAGCTTCAGAATACAGGTTGGACGAGGGATCTTATTATAGACTTATGGATAGATTAGGGCTACATGCTAGCAATTATAATTCCGATATGTCCCCAAGGACATTACATAGACCCCATACAACAGTATCGATTTCAACTTCGCTGTCATCTCGAGCGTCAGCTTCGTCAACACAGCAAAATCAGTCTGCTTTTAATTACTCTCTTGGACGTTTGCGAAATGGCCCATCGCAACGCGAGCGATACCAAAATACTAGAAATGAAAATTGTAAGTCAATGCTCCCCATCAACCCCATAAAGTTTCGAATGCGTCCGGCATTAATTCCGTATTTCTAGATGAATCACCGAGCAACAACTTGCCCAACTGGCTGGCAACACTTCGCAATTGGATTCGTCTATACAGTGAACAATGTAGAAACATCAAGATGTGGAAAGGCTGCAAAATTCAGGAGATTTCGAATCCTGTCGCAGAAGACTTGCCATCTCCTGAAGCCGATTTGAACGATCCTCCTCTTCCCTATACCATCGCACTTCAGTGTACCGTATGATATAACATAGTTTCATATCTGTCGAATAGTCACCAGTCTTCATTAGCACAGTCGTTACACTGAATACTTCTTAAATGCTTTGTTCCTCATGTATTTTTCCTTCTGCATTCGTTTTAGTGTGCGCAATAGATCAGAATTTCGGCGTTGGATGTTGGATGTTGGAAGCGGTTATCAGAATAAAATGCAGTACAATCTCAAGATTATTTACCGTGCCATTTGCATTGCTCCTTGGAGCAGTTTGAAATCCAAAACTTTCCAAATGACTTTACCTGAATGTCACAAATTGCTCTTGGCTATTCGCAAGTTACAAGTACTGGTCTTCCATACATTCAATCGAATCCAGAACGTTTATCCTAATCCCGATGAATCCACCCTACACAGAAATACTTTCTTCATTCTGGTTCTCAAAGATCCACGGTTCGTCGCTCTCATTCGTCTTCAAAAGCCATATAACACGTAAATACATTAGATAATAATTAAGCAATCAATCATCTTCATGCCATGTTCGTGTATATATCATTCATCTGGTCTAAAATGGTAGTTGATTTGTATCATCTATATTTCCTGATAGACTCGATCGCAATTCCGGTTGGAATCTCTATGTAATTATTAGGTTGGTTCATAACATTAAAGCTTGTCTATATCAGAATATTATCCTCCTAAGCGCAATATCAGCCAAATAAAGGGGAAAGATCTAGTTTATGGTACGTCAGCTAGACAAGAATGCCTGCCGACTCTACAGAACAGCAAAACAAATAATCACTATCAAAATCACACCAAGGGACTCAACAGAAACCTTCAAAGAAGAAACAATAAACCACGCTTGTAAGCCTAACACCCTCTATAGCTTAGCAGATTCCAGACCATATCACCCATCCAACCGCGTTTTCCTAACGCCATCCTCCATCATCATATCTCCCGATCCCCCAAAACCCCCGGAAACCCCAACTTCGACTCCCTTCAAACAAGACTCCCCAGCATAACCTCATCACCATCCCTCAATCCCTCCTCAAACTCCAACCTATCTTCTTCTCCTATCTCTACCACCTCTTGGACAATTACCACGTCCCCTATCGCCTCCACTCCCATCCCAGCTACTATCCCATCCATTCACAACCATACCCCCATGTCCAATCCCATTCCTCCTGCATTCACATTTCCAATCGCAGAAAACCCAAATGGAACAGGTAGACCTGGTAGTTGCATTGGCGGTCCATAAGCTGGTCTATGACCGCGGAGATTTGACGTAGGAATTCGTGCACCTCTTGTGCGAGGGACGTAGGGTCCGAGTCGAGATAAGAGAGGGATGTAGTGGGATGTATGTCCTGTGTGAGGAATGTGGGGAGCGTGTGGACCGAATACACCGCCGACAAGAGGTTGAATGTGGTTCATTGGGTTATGGGGGGGTGGATGATGGGCTTGAGGATGATGAGCTTGCGGATGAAGAAAGGGATGAACATAATTGACAGGAGTTTGTTGATGCTGAGCCTGAGCTTGAGCAGTCATATGGTTGCTTGGAATATGTGGATGTTGAACTTGAGCCTGAGCTTGCATTCCAGATGCATTCACATGCTGAGAAGGTCCACCTCCATTTCCACTCCCATTCCGACTTCCACTTCCATGAGTCTGATTCCGACCCTGAATTACCCCCCTCACAGCACTCTGTCCCGAAGCCGCTCTCGCACTCCCACCATGTCCCGTCCTACCTCCCGAACTCGCCACAGCCCCTCCACTAGCATTAGCATTCTGCGCACTTCCCAATCGTGTTCCTCCCGTACCTCCTATACCTGCAGATCCATGAAGCACACCTTGACCTTGACCCAACGGAATCGGGATCGTGCGATTGCCACTCTGAACTGCGTATGCGGGCTGCGTGGGAGCATTGTAGAGATTGTGCGAGGGGGATGGGTTATGGATTGTCATTTTGATTTCCTGATGTAACTTCCTAAAGATTGAGGGTTTCGGGATTGTCAAGAGGGTTCTCCGAATGTGAAGGAGAGTTGAAAGTATTAAGAGGAGCGAATCGAGAGGTCTTTTATACCTCCATCTCCCTACCTTGTAGTAGTCTCGGTACGGTATGAGACTATGTGATTAGGGAAAGCGTATTCGTGATTAGGAATTACATGTAATATCGTGATGTGGTGAATACAGCCCCGTACTAAGCTTGGAATACATCGATTCATATTCTTGATATTGTGGTTCTTATTCATATGCAGGGTGCTGTGTATAGAATACGGCTGTACATAGCATCTACGCTTCGTCATAACCTAGGGCTAGCATGCCAACCTCTCTGGACAAGTGATTGTAATATCAAAACCGTATCGAGCTGCTGTAACTTCACTTGAATCCTCGTGAATGTTCTAATCCAAAAAACTTGGTGCCGGAACCAACTAGATTTACCTACCCATTCATGCCGCCCTCCCTTCCTCCAATGCATCCCCAAACGGATTTCACCTGCTATAAATTCACATTCAACTCACCCATCACTCATCATCCATCACCCATCATCCAACATATCTTCATCCCTCTTTCCACACCACCAAAAACAGAGAACACAAAATACAAACCCGAATAAAAAGTTCAGATACTCATCTCAATAACCAACAAAGAATCACAAAAGAGCTACCCAATATCACTCCACCCCCTGATTAAACGAGATCCACCCCTTCCCCTCCCATTCAACTCCAAGTAAATCATCCCTCCCTTTCTCCTTCTAAAAAGAACTACCAACCCATATACCTCTCTCTCCAATCAAGAGATAATCATAAAGTAAACATTGACATTGGCTATTACTATCCCACCCATCACAACACCTCTCCCAGCAAATCACCATCACCATCACCCTCACCCTCACCCTAACCCTTACATTCCTCCCTCCCCCATCCAAATTCTCAAATATTCAATCCACTCCACACCACAGTACCATTCTCAACAAGCTAAATAGCTAGTCATCACGAACTGTAAATTATCTACCTAGGATTCACAGCACGCCATTCTATTCGATTTCACCCCCCCTCTATTCATGTCCATCTAGTAGTAATCAGCTTGATCATCTCCCCTCTCCCGAACATTCTCATCCACCGGCTATTTTATTGTGTGTTGGTATAATGCAGCACAAAAGAGCGGATCTACTTGTTCGAAGGATAGAGGCTTTGAGTGATATTTATTACATATATTCTTGGCAAAGAAGTGAAGTTTGCTTTTCATTCTGATGTGTATGTGTATGTGTATTCATGAGAAATATCGAATCTCGCTTTCAATCCGTGCATAAGTATGTATGTGTAAACCTTCAAGATTTTAATACATCTCCAATCCCACCTCTCATATCCCTATCCCTAGCCCTGACCCTATCCCTCATACGCCAATCCTTCCAAAAGCGCCAACCAAACTCCAAACCAATACCAATTAAATAAGTTCCTCATCCGATCTCATTCTCGTCATCATCACCTGTCCTTCCCTCAACACAGCACCACAGCCCTCTAACCAAATTTCCTCGTTCCTCCCTTCTCGCCTCCATGGATTGTAGCCCCCGCATTTCCCTTCCCCTTGGTCTCTCCAGCATTCTTCCCATCCTTTCCCTTACTCTTCTTTCCTACTCCCAACAATTCCAGATGACCTGCTTTCGCACCGAGTGTCTTTTCCGTCATGGCTGTGAGACCTGCTGAATGTTTCTATGTATGGAAATTCAATTAGCTGAGATTCTTTCTAAATATCTTGTAAGATATGTTTCTCTCTTTTTCCCAATCTTCGTTGCATCTTTGAAGCAACAATCATTAGTGTAGAAATCAGACAGGTACTTAAACTCGTCAAAGAAGTCTCAACTCTTTCGAGGAGACCACTAGGAAAGCCATGCATATGTAAGTGAGTCATCATATTTCTCCTCTTCCCCCCTCTGTCTTCTCTTCCCCTCTCCCATCCTTTTCCCAACACAACCAAAGAACAATAAATACCAACAAAGAAGACAACTAACCTTTCTCAAAACCTCACTCCTCCTTAATCCATCCTTCTTCGCCTTAATAACCCTCTGTCCCTTCTTCGGTCCCAACGCCGCCTTTTTCCCCGCCCCATTCGCTCGGTTCCCGCCCGCCAATGCGCTCTTCGTCGATTTAAGTGCGCCTTGAACCATTTTGACTCTATTTCTTCCTCTCTCGTATATTCAACTCTTCAAGAGATCAGCCGGTGTGACGGACTGGGTGCGCCTCGATGTAGTATCAATGATGCTCTATCTCGATGAATTCGTTGATTCCGACCCGAGAGATTGATTTCGTTTCTCAGAATATAAGCATGCTATCAATTGACTATCAATACTGCATCCAATAAAATGAGCACAGTAATATGTAAGATTGTGTATGTGCAGTCAAGCTTCTTTGAATGTGTGGTTCAAAGTTTTATGTTGTTCATTTCCTCGAGCTCAGCTTTTCCGAAATAAATTTTAAAGAGGTGGAGAAACTATTTCGCGGAATGCGGCCGCTAGCTCTCATGCGCATGAGTGTTGTTAATTTTTCGCTTCAGATCTCATGACATTCACATTTCAAGCCCCAGTTTGATCAATAACTTTTGTATATTATATATATTCATTCCATTTCATAATCTAAGAGTTTTAATTTTGAGTCATACCATTTGCACATGCATCTCTTATCACGTAGCTCATTCAAATCTCTTCCAACCACAACTCGTTCGCTTTACCCGTCCATAGATTTTGATACCATGCCCGACCAATATCACCTAGCTCCAGCCAGCATGTAAAGACACCACCTCCATTTTTTATTGATAGCTGAACCTACCATAAACGCTAATAGATTTCTGAGTTCAAGAGATGCTTTCATCGTTAAAATAGAAGTAAAACAAAAGCAGACTATGAGCTTGAGCATAGATAGAAGAACTTGACTCAGAAGGTATCGAGTTGTAAAACAATGGAGTAAATCTTTTATCATCAGTCATCCAATCAAAGTAATTCGTCCTAAAGTATCCATCATCCATAACTTTGTCCATTCAATTGCCAATCAACTCATGAGAAAGAGATAACAGACGAAACATCCAAGCCTGCTTGATGCGACATCATTGAAAATGAAGATGGAAAGGAAACACATTGCAAAGAAGAACAAAAACGCAGCAGATACAGAATAGTACATGTAGAAAAGCAAAAGTAAAAGCTGGCAAAAAAAACGTCAAATCTTTCCTTCATAATACATGTGTTGGTCGTAGCTTTGTTGCTCTCATCCATATGTGGTGATAACCCCACATTATCCAAGAAATCGTCCAGGTGCGCCGGTATTTTCGTTCACCCAATTCTATCAAGTCATTCATTCGTTAATTCCACCGGGTATATCCATCCTCATACTGCATCGTCCACTTCTCTGCCTTTTCAAATCACATTTCGCGACTCTGTGCTTCGTGATTCCAAGACTTCATCAACCCCGTTTCTCAATCCCCGGGGTCCACTGATAGTGGCTCGCAACTTTGCATTTCTCTGCTCTCTTCGTCTTTCACTGAGTTTTTTCCCGAGTCCTTTTAAACCCACATATTCAATCCTTAAACCTAATCCAGGAATTGTGTGAATGCGACCACCATTTCCCTCTTTGAAGCCATGACCGAACTCTCCAGGCTTTGCTTCTCGAAGAACTCTTTGGTCTGCCTCTCGTCTTAATGTGTTATTACTTCTTTGCTTTACAACTCTTAAAGCATTGCCACTAGGAGACCTTCGCATTGTTTTTCGATCTAACGGGGCTTGATTGTAATCGTCATTACCATAAGATAACGGAAGAATCGCAAATGTACGTTTTAATTTCCCACTAAGGCCACGTTTTGCTATCACACGTCTATTTCCCGGGCTGTGATACTCAGGAAAATAATCTTCCTCGTCACCTGAATCGTTCTCATTGTCTTCTAGATCGTCCCAGAAATTGGCTGGTCTCCAAAATGGGTGTAACTTGCTATCATCAGCGGGCTGATCGAGAACTGATGGATAATGTGTGGAAGGATTTGCCTCTGGTTTTGAGGTTTGAGTTGAAATGTCCTTGCGACGACCACTCATTGAGAAAGTGCGTTTTATCAAACCAGTTTCTGGTATTACAACATCTGAATAACGTCGATTGGTAAAAGCACGACGAAGAGAGAAGTTACGTTTGAGTTTGTCTGACGATGACGGTCGATCGTCGTCATCTTCGTCCATTCGAGTATCGAAGTCAAACCCTAATTGTCGTTCTTCTGCTGCTCCAGGCGACATATCAGATGGAGTTGGAGGAATGAATTTGATCGCCGGTGGTTCAGGCGGGGCACGAGGATTTCGCAATGGTGAGACAACTCCATCCATTGTATGTAGATTTTGCGGGGGAGTTGTAGGGCCGTTATTAGCTTCACCATTCACCTCAACAGTTGGCTGTGTGATCAATCGTCTCAAAGTGGGAGGTGATGGCTCGGATTCCCTGTGAATCATTGTCCATGACTTGTTTTGATGTGGAACCATCGACACTGCCATAGCCTGCGAGATTTCAGCGGTTGTTGCTGCAGTACCTGCTGTTTCGTATGACGCTTGTGAAAATGGTGTAGCTTGTGTGGATCGCCGTGCATGAAATTGTCTTTCGTCAGGATGATCAATACTAAGTCGATTATGATCTATGCTTGAACGAGCATGCTGTGGCTCAATCTCTTTCTCCGAGACAATAGGTTTTGATGCTTCTGCTAGATCTATCTTCAAGGAATGTTTCTCTTGAATCATATTGTGAGCTTTGAGGCTCTCTGCGGTTAGTGAACCAGCCCTCGAAGTGTTTCGGCTCGTTGGAGCGGAAAGTGAAGACCTTCGAGTTGGGATACTTGGAGGATAATCGATAGTATGTACAGAATTGCTCGATCCTGCAGATTCTGACATGGTACGTTTATTGGTAGGTCGCATGATATCAAAATATCCGGGCTCATTTGTTCTCGAGGATTGTGACAAGGGAGCCGACTGTAGGGAATTACTCCTTTTAGTTTGTCGACTACTTGTTGAACGTAGAGATGGAGGTTTAGAGGACTTTGCCGAAGACATGCGATCTGGAATGACCACAACGGGTACTCCACCCTCGCGTATGATCTTTCTGCGCGATTTGTGACTCGAAGCGATGCTTGGGGTAGTATTTGATGCCAAACTTCCATTGTGTCTTTCAGGTATCCGTTCGGCTTTGTGCAATAATCGATGATGTTGTTCACTCGATTTCTCAGATGGTGTTGTGGATCTTATGGTTGATTCGGTTGAACTGAAATCCCTCAATCCAATCTGCTTTTTGGTATGGCGGAGGGTTCTCATACGCGAGGGAGGTACATCAACGACAAACGCTTCAACGACTGTGGATGTGGTTGAGTGACCAGACATGGTAGAAAATCGTCTTGTATCTGATAATGCTGGAGAATCTGTAGTTTCTTTTCGTACTCTAGGCCATGTGCCACCTTTTGACGTGGGTTCCACCCTATCTTTATCCAGCCGGTGGCTTTCGAAATCCTCCTGTAAAGGTAATCTTCGAACAATTTTCGTGACTTCTATCGGTGAAATCAAATTATCTTCCCCTACTTCGCCGTTTGCACCTTCTTCGTCAAAGCTGGTATTCCTATCTTTGCGCTTCCTGACTACTACATTCCTCATGAGATTATCATCCCATTCCCGTTCCACCTCGCTTACTTCTCCTTGAGAGGTACCCCATTCTCCATCAAAACCGCTAAATTCCTGCTGTAATAGTGATATTTCCTTAGCCTTTGGTGTTGCAGAACCCTCGTTGTCGGATTCTAGACCCAAGCCCAGCCCGATTTCTTTACGAGGAATTTGTAATACTTCTGCCTCAGATGGGTTTGCAGAGGGAATTCGTGGTCGAACTGTGGATGTTTCATCCTCGTCTGACGAATATAAAATTTCCCGCGCTGTTCGGAAGGAATCTGTTCGCGAAGAGGGATAACGCGAGCTTGCTAATGCTGGGCGGAATGCCAATGGTGGCATTGCGCGTGGAGGTGTGACATCGGGAGTGGGTGGACTTTTTTGAATGGTTGGCGTGGTCGGTTTTGATTCTACACTGGAATCTTTCACAGACTGGACCTCGGAACTCGGCGCGGGTATAACAAGAATACTGCTGGTGCCAGATGATTGTCGCGAATGCGCTGGTGGAGTTGGCGGAAGTAGGGGAGCGCCAATCCTTTTCGAAGTGTGCTTCAACATACGCGGATTTGGATTTTCGGAATTTTGTGACGGCGTTGATTCTGCTTCTGCACTTCTGTCGCGAGATTTGAATGTTTGTGATTGAGACGACAAATCGGAAGGACGGACTTCTCTTGGATGAGGTAAGATTTTATGCCTTTTTAATAAAGTTGTTCCAACACTTTGAGCGCTATTTGAAGCTTCAGAAGAGCTTCCCAGCTCCCGGGACGGCATCCTGAGCCAGTTCGTCGTCTGTGTGATGAGCATAAAGTTGAATAAAAATGGGGCCTCTTAAAAAGAAAATACTTTTGGGAAAACCCCGTGTTAATTTTCGAGTTTGTTCTTATTTCAGTAGATTATTGTTCTCGTAACGAGAAGTGCGGTAAGTTGCATAAAGATAGTCCTCGTGGTATCGGCTTCGTGCAGAATCGCAAGTTGGCAGAAGGCATAAATTATTAGGCTGGGTGGTGAGGGATGGGAATGGTGGTAGTGGTTGTTGTGGTTGCTGTGATGGTGGGTGGTGGTGGTGAATTATTGTGGTACACTTGGTTAAAAATGCGAAAAATGGCTGATTGAATGGAGAAAAAAAGGAAATTCGTAAAATCGTGTCGATCCAGTCTCGACTGAAGAGGATCAAAAGATGTGTAGATTTTTATTGGATATTGGTGATACACTTTGGGAGGAGGATTCGAATCAGCATAGATTGCAGGTTGCAAGTTGCGATTATGGGTTGCAGATGGTGCCCCACGAAGCGCTCTCTGATGGGAACAGCAAGCTCTCAATTCTCGAATCCAATTAAAACATTCAAACCCTCTGAGATGCTGAGGGCATTTGGGACTGATGGAAGTGAATATGTAATGGATTCGAGGGTAACAGTGTAATGTCGAAAAAGAAAAAGGAATGGAGTGGAGCGGAGTGGATAGCTGCGTGTGTGTTTAGGTACAGAAAAGTAAACGTTCGAATTGAATCAATGACAGATGGCAATGCGAGGAGCCTAACAAGAAGAGGATAAGAAGCAGAAATCGAAACAGTCAACGTTGTCCAATTCTAGATGGATGAATGGAGAAGTGGAGACGCGAAGTTGTGAGATATCATTCGTCAACTTTCTCCTGTTCCCAAGTTTTCTTATGTCGCCGTGTTATTGATTAGAAGTGTGAGTAGGTATCTCGAGTACTACCTTACCTTACCACCTTACCCAACACCCAGCATGTATGCGTACCCGGGTGGGGGATTCTAGTGCGTGCGTGCTGCACTGAGTGAGAGTGAGGTCTGAACGGTGGAATCCGGCCTGCCTGCC